TTGGAATCCTGCTAATAATCCCGATTTATACTAAATGTAACTGTAATCTGATTATGTCCTTTTTTTCTGTCGCTGATTACAGTGTTTTGTATCCTGATTAACTCAGTTACATGTAATCTGTTACTCCCCAAACCAGTTTATTCCATTATATATATGTGGAAATAATTTCAGAAGTATGATTTTTTACTGTCTAAAAACATGCTCAACCAAAACTGTTGAGTTGTCCATAGTGATAAAGTAATGATACTACGATAATAATTGTACTGTTTTTAATGAATTATGAACATTTACTGTGGTCAGTATGATTTATTGATGTTATTCCATTATTATAAGTTATAATAACTTTTACCATGAAGCAACATTTCAACTGTTTGGTAGAGGCCCATATTTCATTTGCTTTTCTATTAGTGAGGACAATAAAAGGTTTAAGTCAAAGGGGAAGTTGCAAGTGTTTTTAAAAATGTTGTAGAGTCTAAGTCAGACTTATGACGGGAGTCTGATTCATATGACGATATGAATGAGTCCACACTAGAGGACTGCACTGGGTTCCTGATTGGTTTTGATAAACCCAGAATTTAGCTCGTACCCACCCAAAGAATGAACAACATGAAGAAGATTCCTCAGTGTACATGATGTATATTTAATTTTATTGTACAACTCAGACACAATGCAACATAATGTATATGAATATGATCAGTTCGATCTTGTGATAATATTCAGGTTATACATCAAATTAACAATTACATCACCAATCAGAGTTTTATTTTTCAAAGCTCACAACAAAGAGAAATTCCATAGAGAGTATTATGTTCTTATATAAACTTAAAATATGATACTAAAGAAAACAAACACGTCAGGAATATAGTAAATGCTATGGTTACATGAGAGTTAAGAAAAGAACATCTGATCAAAATCTATGTTAATAAATCAGGATTATTAATGACAGTTGAATATATAAACAGTGGATGTTAACTCCAGCAAGCTAGAAAGTGGCGTTAGCAAACATTGTGTTAATAAACAATCTACTCGTTCCTACGACAGTTTATGTGATTTTTTGTTTGTATGTGTAACCCTGGAGACATTCATTCACACCTGGTAAACATTAAGACCGATCAAACTGTACCAGAGAACGAAAGTATAATAATCTACACATCTACGCACAATATTTGGGTCCATCTACAATAAGGTATTCAAATTAATATACAGGTTTTTTAAGGTAATGCAATACCTGCATTTTTTGGGTTTAGAATCAGTGCTTTTTAAAACATTGTGGCCCTTGCAGGTTTGACAGAAACGTCTCTATTTCTCTCCACATTCTGTCTTTCTTTCTGTCTCTAATCTGAGTCAAAACTCTGATGCTTCTCTCACGATAGAAGGACTTATGCGGTATCTCTGCTGCCCTCATGTGATACTGTGTTGCCCTGTCGCTGTCGTTTAGATGAAAGAATAAATGGTTTGAGTAGCTGTGATAAAGCATCTGTTTCTCTGCAGGTTCCAGATCACTTTCTAGCAGTTCCTGGAATATCTGGTCAGCTTTAGCCTGGCTGTGACTTGACTTTGCGTATATATTTGCGAGGTCTATTTTCTTCACAAGAGAAGAATGAGGGTAAAGATTAATCACTTCCTCATGGAGACTGATTGCTTTCTCTATCATAGGTTGATTTGTGTGACTATCCTCGGAAAAAATCTTCCATTTGTAGCAGAGTGCAACACAGCTCTTCAGATAACGTACATCTGGATGTTTTTCCAGAGCCTCCTCTGCCAAAGTAATGGCCTCATCTACAGATACATAGTTTCTGTAAACCCACAGTAATACTTTCATACCGCTGTAACTGCTCACAGGATTTATCAAAACCCGCGTGCGTAACTCACATGCTTCATCTTCAATACTTTCTCCTTTCTTACCACGTTGTTCAAGGTATTTAGCAGCGAGATACAAGTTCTCTGGATCTTGTTCTTTGGCGATTTTCATTTCCTCCAAGATGCCAGCCTCAGGCCCTTCGTTGCAGTAGTTAGAAGCATTCATTACTGCTAAGACACGGCTGGTGTTCCACTCCTTCATGTCCGGCTGCATCCTGATGGCTCTCTCGAAGTAAACTACAGCCAGCAGCCTTTGGACTGCACTGAACTTCATCAGGGTCCAGGCTTTTTCAGCCAAGATCTCTGGATGGAGCTCGTCCTGGGATGGAGATGGATATTTTTTCATCAGGGCGTCGACCTTTGACAGGTAAGCCTGACTCTCTTCTTGTTTTCCCAGGTGGTGGTGCAGCCAAGCCAGGTTCCCGTAGTTCACCACTAACCAGGGACCCTCTTCTGCTCCTCTTGTCAGGCGGAGGGCCTCTGTAGCCTGGTTGAACAAACTCTGGGAGTCTTCAGTGAACCCCAGCTTGTACTGAATGTACCCCCGCAGGTTGTAAATGTGACCCAGCCAACTGTTTCCCTCCTCAGTGCCGATGTCCTCCAGGATGTCTCTGAGACGGAGAAGTTTGGACCTGCCAGGGTTCAGATCCCAGGTGAAGCCGCACTGCAGGGCCTTCAGTTTGGCCTCCAGTGTTTGACTCTGAGCAGCACTGATGGAGGATAAAAATAACAAAGTTAAAACACATACGCAGTAATATAGTGTCCTTCATGTTGTGCTATGTTCAGGATAATGTTTTATCTGGAAGAAGCAGACACTCACCTCATCTTTCAGCAGGTAGTTTTCTAAATATGAGCCTCTGGTTTCTGCTCTTTATATAGCTGCTGCTTTGGGTGCGGCAGTTTAAAATCACTAACGTTCAACTCCTGCAGAGTTGTAAATGATGTGGAGCTCGTCCTGGATTTGGACTTTCTCCCACTAATAGAAACATAGAGCATCGTTTCTGTCATACTGACACAACAGATCTGCACGGAGCTCTGATTATCTGGCTTTGATATCTAAACTTTCTCCCCTTTATCAGCAGGTATCACACAAGTCTCAAACCTTGGACTGTACAACCTGACAACACATCTTAATAAAGGAAGTAAATTAACATAAATGAATTCTCAAAAGTGAATTGTTGAAGCAACTCACTTGTTTTAAATGAAGTTAAGTGTTTGCACTATTTTCAGTACAGATGATATAATTCCATTTTGTTCCATTGACTCATTTTCTTCTTCAAGTTGACTTTATATTATTATAAACATTTGAGCGTTATAATGATGTATAGCTTATGATGTATATGTGTATGTATAATTATGTGTAGCTGATATAGCTCTATTTAATTCAGAACGCTGCAGCACGAGTACTGACAGGAACTAGAAAAAGAGATCACAGCTCTCCTGTACTAGCTTCTCTGCATTGGCTCCCTGTAAAATGTAGAATAGAATTTAAAATCCTCCTCCTCGCCTATGAAGCTCTTCATGGTCAGGCCCCTTCATATCTTAAAGAGCTCATAGTACCCTATTACCCCTCTAGAACACTACGTTCTCTGAATGCTGGGCTACTTGTGGTTCCTATAGTCTCTAAAAGTAGAACAGGAGCCAGAGCCTTCAGCTACCAAGCTCCTCTCCTGTGGAACCAGCTTCCATTTGTGGTTCGGGAGGCAGACACCCTCTCCACATTCAAGAGTAGGCTTAAGACATTCCTCTTTGATAAAGCTTATAGTTAGGGCTGGATCAGGTGAGTCCTGAACCATCCCTTAGTTATGCTGCTATAGGCCTAGACTATCAGGGGATTTCCCATGGTGCACTGAGCTCCTCTCTTCCTCTCTCTTTCTGCACTCATTCATGTCCCATTAATGCATGTTACTAACTCCACTTCTTCCCCGGAGTTCTTGTGCTTTCTCGTCTTGCAGGTTCTTGTCGATCCTGGTGGAGCCTCCTGCCATGGTCCTGCTAGATTGCCATTGCCAATACTGTTGTTGCTGTGCACCTGTCTGTCTGTCTGTCTGTCTCTCGCTCTCTCTCTCTCTGCCTCTCTCTCTCACCCCAACTGGTCGAGACAGACGACCACCCACCTAGAGCCGGAGGATCTGTCCTAGGTTTCTACCTTTTAACAGGCAGTTCTTCCTTGCCCTTGTCGCCAAGTGCTTGCTCATGGTGGTACTGTTGGGTCTCTGTAATTAATGTTTTAAAGAGTTCGGTCTAGACCTGCTCTATTTGAAAAGTGTCCTGAGATAACTTCTGTTATGAATTGGCGCTATACAAATAAAATTGAATTGAAATTGAATTGAATTGAATTTCAGTTTATTAATCATCCAGATGATTCTTAATGATCCAGCAATTATGAAGAAAAACACATAAATTAATTGGCCATAAATTGTTTTTACAGGAAAGTAATAATTTCCTTTAACAGACGAAAACTGAGTACATTTAAACTTGGTTGGATAACATTTGTATAAAGAAGTTGCATTTAAGTGACTTTATTCTGATAAATTCTTCCACCCTTCTGATTCTGCAGGGTTCAGTTTGCTGCATCCCGTCTCTCTTCCACCCTTTCCTGTCACTCTACAGCTGTTTCTATCCATTAAAGGCAATAAAAGAGAAGTCGTTGAGTGGTCAGACCTTTTCCTCCTTACAGGAAGACGTGTTTTTTCAACATATTTTAGGTTCAGACGTGTGAACAGAAATATTGTTATTAGTCTAATAAGGGTAAAAGAATTTACTCTACCACATTGATTGTTTGTCATTTTGTGGTAGTGTAATTAAAAACCTCTGATCATTCCTTGTTGTTAATATAATACATTTAAGGTTATTCCCAGGGTTACTTTAAAAATGTAATTGGATAGAGTACTAATTACCTGTTAAAAAATGTAGTTAGTAAGCGAAGTTTCACAATATTAAAGTAATTCCATTACTTTATGTTAATTTTGGATTACTTCAACACCAAATATGCAAATAAAGACTAGAGAAAATAAATATATAATATAATAAATAATAAGATGGCATGTATTCTATAAGACAACAGAACAATGTAACCTTAAATTAGAGATTAGAGATAGCATCAAAATTGTGTCTTCTGCTCAAGAAAAACTGATGTATTTTAAATTCAAATTAACTTTATTTCACACACAGAAATCCATATTAACATAAAAACAACACAAAACAATACATGGACAACAACACAGAGATATAAAACACATACATCAGACATCTGTCCTAGTGTTTCCAAAGACAAGAGGAGTGTCACTTGTTGTCTTTATTGCATTTTTTGACCCAATTAACTGACACACATTTGATTTTGTATCCTGACTATTCATCCTTATGGGTGACCTGAATTGGGATGTAAGACAAAGTATTTTTTTGGGCTTTTTATTGCCTTTATGATAGAGACAGCTGAAGACAGACAGAGAGAGGGGATGACACGCAGCAAAGGGCTGTAGGTTGGATTTGAACCCTGGGCAGCAGCAGCAAAGACTCAGCCTCGGTACATGGGTCGCCAGCTCTACCCACTGAGCTAACCGGGCGCCCGACTCAGGTTGTTTTAAAGAACTCTGTGACTCCTTAAACCTTCTGCAGCTCATTGAACCACAAACAAGGCCAAATCCTAAAGCACATAAAGGAAATCTACCTTGCTTGATTTAATTATATCAAATACACCTCAACTGGCATATTTTGTAATGATGTCAGTGGTTACTTGTGTCAGGAATACCAAAATCCCTACGGTAAAAGCCTGTCTTATTTCTAAAAGATATTTTAAAAGTTTTGAAGAGTAGGCCCTTTTTGCATGATTTGTATGACAATGATTTTAGCAGAGTTACTCTGATTGCGGATGTTGAACTGGCATGGGATTATTTTCATTAAATTTTCCTGTCTAACACTAATAAACATGTTCCTATTAAGAAGTTTATGATCGGTGGTAGGGACAAAGTGAACTTCAATGATCAGAAAATCCAAATCAGAGTTTTATCTGAAGTCAGTTATAGAGAACATAAATAACCCAACAATATCCTGGAAATTAATTAAATACTTGTCCTTGTTGCTTCAGACCTCCCTCATCACATTTGGGTTGATTCAGATAAAATAATGTTCAGTCAATTTAACAAACACTTTATTCATGGTGGGTCTATATTTGACAGCTCTAACTTAAATACATTGATCTCATGTTCTGCCACGACTGCAACTGATGGGAATTTGGATTTGTTTGATTTTGAACCTTTTTCATTAGCTCAAGTGTGTAAAGCTCTGGAAGACTTTGACCACATATTTTTATTTTGAGTCTCTTCAACTCAATACCTAAAATTTGGTAAGCTGCCTATATTCTCCCTTTACTTAAAGGTGGAGACCCCTCAGAGTTGAACAATTACCATGCAATCTCAAAACTCTCAGTGCTAGCCAAGATGCTTGAATCCCAGTTAAATGTACACTTAGAACAGTTTTTAGTTGATATTAAAATTTTCAGTCTGGGTTTAGAACCGCCACAGTACCATTATTGCTGCTATGGTTGTGACAAATGACCTCATTGGTGCCCTGGACAGAAAACAGAGTTGTGCTGCGTTATTTGTGGATCTATCCATGGCTTTTGATTCAGTGGATCACAAATTTATGTTGATCAAGCTCAAGAATGTTGGTTTCTGTCCTAAGGCTGTTAAATGATAATAATAATTTTGCAGATCGAGCTCAGTGTGCCCACAGGGCCATATATCAGATTGAAATAACTAAAGGTGTCCCCCAGGGTTCCATGTCAGTACCTACTTTGTTCTCTAGTTTCATAAATGTTTTAAGTAAGGACATACAAGCAAAAGTACACTTTTATGCTGATGACACTGTACTTTATGCACATGCTCCCTCCTTAGGACAGGCAGTGCAAGAGCTTCAGACTTCATTTCCATCATTGCAAACTTTCCTGATTAACCTAAAATTAGTTTTAAATGCTCAGAAGACAAAGTTCATGGTCTTTTTTGAAGGTTGCTTCATGATTTTAGTATTTTCACATCTGATGATAAATCCATTAAAAGGGTTCCCTCGTACAAGTACCAGGGTCAATTATACAAAACTTTACTTCAATGTTGCGATCAGGGTCTTCACCGTACATTTCTCGCTTCTATTTTGAGTTTATCTTAAGAAGTAGTCTTTTCTGCAGTTTCCACAAATCTTTTCTCCCAGTCTGTATGTGATCAAATTTATATCTACAGATTTCTTGAGCTAATGCATTTTTTTTCTGGATTCCTAACCAGTGCAGTTAAAAACATTATGGCTCTTGCAGGTTTGCCAGAAACTTCTCTATTTCTCTACACATTCTGTCTTTCTTTCTGTCTCTTATCTGAGTCAGAACTCTGATGCTTTTGTCACGAAAAGAGGATTGTTGCGGTATCTCTGCTGCCCTCATGTGATACTGTATTGACCTGTCGTTATGCATTCCTTTGCGGAATAATTGGTGTGCGTAGTTATGACAAAGCATCTGTTTCTCTGCAGGTTCTAGATCACGTTTTAGCAGTTCCTGATATATCTGCTCAGCTTGAGCCTGGCTGTACTTTGAGTTTGCGTACATCTTTGCGAGGTCTATTTTCTTCACAAGAGAAGACTGAGGGTAAAGAGAAATCACCTCCTTATGGAAACTGAGTGCTCTCTCTATTCTGCTTCTATCCATTACGTCTTGGTCAATATCCCTGAAATAAATCCATTTGTAGCAGAGTGCAACACAGCTCTTCAGATAACGTACATCTGGATGTTGTTTCAGAGCCTCCTCTGCCAAATCAATGGCCTCATCTACAGATACATGGTTTCTGTAAACCCACAGTAATGCTTTCATACCGCTGTAGCTGCTCACAGGATTTATCAAAACCTGTCTGCCTAACTCACGTGCTTCATCTTCAATACTTTCTCCTTTCTTACCACGTTGTTCAAGGTATTTAGCAGCAAGGTAAAAGTTCTTTGGATCCTGTTCATTGGCAATTCTCAATTTCTCCAAGATGTCAGCCTCCAGCTCTTCGTTGCTGTAGTTAGAAGCACTCACTAATGCTACGACACGGCTGGTGTTCCACTCCACCATGTCCGGCTGCATCCTGATGGCTCTCTCAAAGTAATCTGCAGCCAGCAGCTTTTGGTCTGTGCTGAACTTCATCAGGGTCCAGGCTTTTTCAGCGTAGATCTCTGGATGGAGCTCGTCCTGGGATGGAGATGGATATTTTTTCATCAGGGAGTCGACCTTTGACAGGTAATCCTGACTCTCTTCTTGTTCTCCCAGGTGGTGGTGCAGCCAAGCCAGGTTCCCGTAGTTCACCACTAACCAGGGACCCTCTTCTGCTCCTCTTGTCAGGCGGAGGGCCTCTGTAGCCTGGTTGAACAAACTCTGGGCGTCTTCAGTGAATCCCAGCTTGTACTGAATGTACCCCCGCAGGTTGTAAATGTGACCCAGCCAGCTGTTTCCCTCCTCGGTGCCGATGTCCTCCAGCTTGTCCCTGACACGGAAGAGTTTGGACCTGCCAGGGTTCAGGTCCCAGGTGAAGTGGCACTGCAGGGCCTCCAGTTTGTCCTCCAGTGTTTGACTCTGAGCAGCACTGATGGAGGATAAAAATAACAAAGTTAAAACACATACGCAGTAATATAGTGTCCTTTGTGTTGTGCTATGTTCAGGATAATGTTCTCATTTCATTTGGAGGAAGCAGACACTCACCTCATCATCCAGCTGGTAGTTTTCTAAATATGAGCCTCTGGTTTCTGCTCTTTATATAGCTGCTGCTTTGGGTGCGGCAGTGTAAAATCACTAATGTTCAACTCCTGCAGAGCTGTAAATGATTAGATCCAATCAGGTCAGGTCGGGCACTGGATTCAGACTTTCTTTTCCCACTAATAGAAACCTACAACACCGTTTCTGTCATACTGACACAACAGATCTGCACGGAGCTCTGATTATCAGACTTTGATATTTCTACATTTAATATCTAAACTTTGTCCCTTTTATCAGCAGGTATCACACAAGTCTCAAACCTTGCAAACCCAACACGCCCTTCAAGTCTATAATAATAATATGACGTGTATCTTTTTTTCTGTCGCTGATTACAGTGTTTTGTATCGTGATTAACTGAGTTATATGTTATCTGTTACTCCCCAAACCAGTTTATTCCATTATATATATGTGGAAATAATTTCAGAAGTATGATTTTTTACTGTCTAAAAACATACTCAACCAAACAGTTGAGTTATCCTTCAGTGATAGAGGTAGTGATACAATGATAATAAAGTTAATGTTTTTAATGAATTGTGAAAATTTACTGTGGTCAGTATAATTTCTTGATGGTATTCAATAATTTGTTTCATGATAAAGTTACAATAACTTTTACCATGAAGCAGCGTCTCAACTGTTTGGTAGAGGCCCATATTTCATTAGCTTTTTTATTAGTGAGGTCAATAAAGGGTTCAAGTCAAAGGGGAAGTTGCAAGTGTTTTTAAAAATGTTGTTGAGTCTAAGTCAGATTTATGACGGGAGTCTGATTCATATGACGATGTGAATGAGTCCACACTAGAGGACTGCACTGGGTTCCTGATTGGTTTCTTTTCCTGTGGGCGGTCAAAAAATAAACCCAGAATTCAGCTCATACCCACCAAAAGGATGAACAACATGAAGAAGGTTCCTCAGTGTACATGATGTATATTTAATTTTATTGTACAACTCAAACACAATGTAACATAATGTATATGAATATGATCAGTTCTGTCTTGTGATAATATTCAGGTTGTGCATCAAATTAACTATTACATCACCAATCAGAGTTTTATTTTCCAAAGCTCACAACAAAGAGAAATTCCTTAGAGAGTATTATGTTCTTATATAAACTTAAAATATGATACTAAAGAAAACAAACACGTCAGGAATATAGTAAATGCTATGGTTACATGAGAGTTAAGAAAAGAACATCTGATCAAAATCTATGTTAATTAATCAGGATTATTTATGACATTTGAATATATAAACAGTGGATGTTAACTCCAGCAAGGTAGGAAGTGGCGTTAGCAAACATTGTGTTAATAAACAATCTGCTCGTTCCTATGACAGTTTATGTGATTTTTTGTTTGTATGTGTAACCCTGGAGACATTCATTCCCACCAGGTAAACATTAAGACCGATCAAACTGTACCAGAGAACGAAAGTATAATAATCTACACATCTACACACAATATTTGGGTCTATCTAGGATAAGGTATTCAAATTAATATACAGGTTTCTTTTCCTTTTCCTGGGTTTAGAACCAGTGCTGTTAAAAACGTGGCTCTTACAGGTTTGCCAGAAACTTCTCTACTTCTCTCCACATTCTGTCTTTCTTTCTGTCTCTAATCTGAATCAGAAATCTGATGCTTCTCTCACGAAAGGAGGACTCATGCGGTATCTCTGCCGCCCTCATGTGATACTGTGCTGACCCGTGGCCATAATGTCGATTGAAGTTTAGATATTTTGCATAGTTGTGGTAAAGCTTCTGTTTGTCTGCAGGTTCCAAATCACGTTTTAGCAGTTTCTGGAATATCTGCTCAGCTTGAGCCTTGCTGTGACTTGACTTTGCGTACATATTTGCAAGGTCTATTTCCATCAGAAGAGAAGAATGAGGGTAAAGAGCAATCATCTCCTCATGGAGACTGATTGCTTTCTCTATCATCGGTTGATTTGGGCGATTATCCTTGGAAAAAATCTTCCATTTGTAGCAGATTGCAACACAGCTCTTCAGATAACGTACATCTGGATGTTTTTCCAGAGCCTCCTCTGCCAAATCAATGGCCTCATCTACAGATACATAGTTTTTGTAAATGCGAAGTAATACTTTCATACCGCTGTAGCTGCTCACAGGATTCCTCAAAACCTGTCTGCCTAACTCACGTGCTTCATCTTCAATCCTTTCTCCTTTCTTACCACGTTGTTCAAGGTATTTGGCAGCGAGATACAAGTTCTCTGGATCCTGTTCTTTGGCAATTCTCAATTTCTCCAAGATGTCAGCCTCAGGCCCTTCGTTGTAAGAAGCACTCACTAATGCTAATACACGGCTGGTGTTCCACTCCACCATGTCCGGCTGCATCCTGATGGCTCTCTCAAAGTAATCTACAGCCAGCAGCTTTTGGTCTGTGCTGAACTTCATCAGGGTCCAGGCTTTTTCAGCCAAGATCTCTGGATGGAGCTCGTCCTGGGATGGAGATGGATATTTTTTCATCAGGGCGTCGACCTTTGACAGGTACGCCTGACTCTCTTCTTGTTTTCCCAGGTGGTGGTGCAGCCAAGCCAGGTTCCCGTAGTTCACCACTAACCAGGGACCCTCTTCTGCTCCTCTTGTCAGGCGGAGGGCCTCTGTAGCCTGGTTGAACAAACTCTGGGCGTCTTCAGTGAATCCCAGCTTGTACTGAATGTACCCCCGCAGGTTGTAAATGTGACCCAGCCAGCTGTTTCCCTCCTCGGTGCCGATGTCCTCCAGGTTGTCCCTGACAAGGAAGAGTTTGGACCTGCCAGGGTTCAGCTCCCAGGTGAAGTGGCACTGCAGGGCCTCAAGTTTGGCCTCCAGTGTTTGACTCTGAGCAGCACTGATGGAGGATAAAAATAACAAAGTTAAAACACATACGCAGTAATATAGTGTCCTTTGTGTTGTGCTATGTTCAGGATAATGTTCTCATTTCACATGGAGGAAGCAGACACTCACCTCATCATCCAGCTGGTAGTTTTCTAAATATGAGCCTCTGGTTTCTGCTCTTTATATAGCTGCTGCTTTGGGTGCGGCAGTGTAAAATCACTAATGTTCAACTCCTGCAGAGCTGTAAATGATTAGATCCAATCAGGTCAGGATCGGGCACTGGATTCTGACTTTCTTTCCCACTAATAGAAACCTACAACACCGTTTCTGTCATACTGACACAACAGATCTGCACAGAGCTCTGATTATCAGACTTTGATATTTCTACATATAAAATCTAAACTTTGTCCCTTTATCAGCAGGTATCACACAAGTCTCAATCCTTGTAATCCCAACACGCCCTTCAAGTCTATAATAATATGATGATGTCTATTTTATAATATAACAGAACAATGTAACCTTATGAAAGAAAATGGAAATCATATTTTTTTTGTCTTCTGCACAATACAAACTGATGTATTTAAAAATTGTAATCCTGCTAATAATCCCGATTTTTACTAAATGTAACTGTAATCTGATTATGACTTCTTCTGAAATTATTTCTGCATATATATATAATGGAATAAACTGGTTTGGTGAGTAACAGATTACATGTAACTGAGTTAATCAGGATACAAAACACTGTAATCAGCAACAGAAAAAGACATAATCAGATTACAGTTACATTTAGTAAAAATGGGGATTATAAGCAGGGTTACAATTTTTAAATACATCAGTTTTTATTGGGCAGAAGACAAAAAAAATGTGATTTCTATTTTCCTTTATAAGGTTACACTGTTCTGTTGTCTTATAAAATACACATATTATTATTATAGACTTGAAGGGCGTGTTGGGATTACAAGGTTTGAGACTTGTGTGATACCTGCTGATAAAGGGGACAAAGTTTAGATTTTATATGTAGAAATATCAAAGTCAGATAATCAGAGCTCCGTGCAGATCTGTTGTGTCAGTATGACAGAGACGGTGCTCTAGGTTTCTATTAGTTGGAAAAGAAAGTCTGAATCCAGTGCCCGACCTGACCTGACTGGATCTGGAAGTATGATTTTTGAGATGTCCTTTAGTGATAAAGGTAATGATACAACGATAATAAAGTTAATGTTTTTAATGAGTTATGAACATTTACTGTGGTCAGTATCATTTATTGATGTTATTCAATAATTTGTTTGATGATAAAGTTACAATAACTTTTACCATGAAGCAACGTCTCAACTGTTTGGTAGAGGCCCATATTTCATTAGCTTTTTTATTAGTGAGGTCAATAAAGGGTTCAAGTCAAAGTTAAGTTGCAAGTGTTTTTCAAAATGTTGTAGAGTCTAAGTCAGACTTATGACGGGAGTCTGATTCATATGACGGTTCCTGATTGGTTTTGACTCTGTTGTGGGCGGTCAAAAAATAAACCCAGAATTCAGCTCATACCCACCAAAAGAATGAACAACATGAAGAAGATTCCTCAGTGTACATGATGTATATTTCATTTTATTGTACAACTCAAACACAACGTAATATAATGTATATGAATATGATCAGTTCGGTCTTGTGATAATATTCAGGTTATGCATCAAATTAACTATTACATCACCAATCAGAGTTTTATTTTCCAAAGCTCACAACAAAGAGAAATTCCTTAGAGAGTATTATGTTCTTATATAAACTTAAAATATGATACTAAAGAAAACAAACACGTCAGGAATATAGTAAATGCTATGGTAACATGAGTTAAGAAAAGAACATCTGATCAAAATCTATGTTAATTAATCAGGATTATTTATGACATTTGAATATATAAACAGTGGATGTTAACTCCAGCAAGGTAGAAAGTGGCATTAGCAAACATTGTGTTAATAAACAATCTGCTCGTTCCTATGACAGTTTATGTGATTTTTTGTTTGTATGTGTAACCCTGGAGACATTCATTCCCACCAGGTAAACATTAAGACCGATCAAACTGTACCAGAGAATGAAAGTATAATAATCTACACATCTACACACAATATTTGGGTCTATCTAGGATAAGGTATTCAAATTAATATACAGGTTTCTTTTCCTTTTCCTGGGTTTAGAATCAGTGCTGTTAAAAACATTGTGGCTTTTGCAGGTTTGACAGAAACTTCTCTACTTCTCTGCACATTCTGTCTTTCTTTCTGTCTCTAATCTGAGTCAAAACTCTGATGCTTCTCTCACGAAAGGAGGACTCATGTGGTATCTCTGCTGCCCTCATGTGGTACTGTGTTGCCCTGTCGCTGTCGTTTAGATGAAAGAATAAATGGTATGCGTAGTTGGTGTAAAGCATCTGTTTGTCTGCAGGTTCCAGATCACTTTCTAGCAGTTCCTGGAATATCTGGTCAGCTTTAGCCTGGCTGTACTTTGAGTTTATGTACATCTTTGCGAGGTCTATTTTCTTCACAAGAGAAGACTGAGGGTAAAGAGAAATCACCTCCTCATGGAGACTGAGTGCTCTCTCTATTCTGCTTCTATCCATTACTTCTTGGCCAATATCCCTGAAATAAATCCATTTGTAGCAGAGTGCAACACAGCTCTTCAGATAACGTACATCTGGATGTTTTTCCAGAGCCTCCTCTGCCAAAGTAATGGCCTCATCTACAGATACATGGTTTCTGTAAACCCACAGTAATGCTTTCATACCGCTGTAGCTGCTCACAGGATTTATCAAAACCTGTCTGCCTAACTCACGTGCTTCTTCTTCAATACTTTCTCCTTTCTTACCACGTTGTTCAAGGTATTTAGCAGCGAGATACAAGTTCTCTGGATCCTGTTCCTTGGCAATTCTCAATTTCTGCAAGATGTCAGCCTCAGGCCCTTCATTGTAAGAAGCACTCACTAATGCTACGACAAGGCTGGTGTTCCACTCCACCATGTCCAGCTGCATCCTGATGGCTCTCTCAAAGTAATCTGCAGCCAGCCGCTTTTGGTCTGCGCTGAACTTCATCAGGGTCCAGGCTTTTTCAGCGTAGATCTCTGGATGGAGCTCGTCCTGGGATGGAGATGGATATTTTTTCATCAGGGCGTCGACCTTTGACAGGTAATCCTGACTCTCTTCTTGTTCTCCCAGGTGGTGGTGCAGCCAAGCCAGGTTCCCGTAGTTCACCACTAACCAGGGACCCTCTTCTGCTCTTCTTGTCAGGCGGAGGGCCTCTGCAGCCTGGTTGAACAAACTCTGGGCGTCTTCAGTGAATCCCAGCTTGTACTGAATGTACCCCCGCAGGTTGTAAATGTGACCCAGCCAGCTGTTTCCCTCCTCGGTGTCGATGTCCTCCAGCCTGTCTCTGAGACAGAAAAGTTTGGACCTGCCAGGGTTCAGCTCCCAGGTGAAGTGGCACTGCAGGGCCTCAAGTTTGGCCTCCAGTGTTTGACTCTGAGCAGCACTGATGGAGGATAAAAATAACAAAGTTAAAACACATATGCAGTAATATAGTGTCCTTCATGTTGTGCTATGTTCAGGGTAATGTTCTCATTTCATGTGGAGGAAGAAGACACTCACCTCATCATCCAGCTGGTAGTTTTCTAAATATGAGCCTCTGGTTTCTGCTCTTTATATAGCTGCTGCTTTGGGTGCGGCAGTGTAAAATCACTAATGTTCAACTCCTGCAGAGCTGTAAATGATTAGATCCAATCAGGTCAGGATCGGGCACTGGATTCTGACTTTCTTTTCCCACTAATAGAAACCTACAACACCGTTTCTGTCATACTGACACAACAGATCTGCACAGAGCTCTGATTATCAGACTTTTATATTTCTACATATAAAATCTAAACTTTGTCCCTTTATCAGCAGGTATCACACAAGTCTCAATCCTTGTAATCCCAACACGCCCTTCAAGTCTATAATAATATGATGATGTCTATTTTATAATATAACAGAACAATGTAACCTTATGAAAGAAAATGGAAATCATAATTTTTTTGTCTTCTGCACAATACAAACTGATGTATTTAAAAATTGTAATCCTGCTAATAATCCCGATTTTTACTAAATGTAACTGTAATCTGATTAGGACTTCTTCTGAAATTATTTCCGCATATATATATAATGGAATAAACTGGTTTGGGGAGTAACAGATTACATGTAACTGAGTTAATCAGGATACAAAACACTGTAATCAGCAACAGAAAAAAGACATAATCAGATTACAGTTACATTTAGTAAAAATGGGGATTATAAGCAGGGTTACAATTTTTAAATACATCAGTTTTTATTGGGCAGAAGACAAAAAAATGTGATTTCTATTTTCCTTTATAAGGTTACACTGTTCTGTTGTCTTATAAAATACACATATTATTATTATAGACTTGAAGGGCGTGTTGGGATTACAAGGTTTGAGACTTGTGTGATACCTGCTGATAAAGGGGACAAAGTTTAGATTTTATATATAGAAATATCAAAGTCAGATAATCAGAGCTCCGTGCAGATCTGTTGTGTCAGTATGACAGAGACGATGCTTTAGGTTTCTATTAGTTGGAAAAGAAAGTCTGAATCCAGTGCCCGACCTGACCTGACTGGATCTGGAAGTATGATTTTTGAGTTGTCCTTTAGTGATAAAGGTAATGATACAACGATAATAAAGTTAATGTTTTTAATGAGTTATGAACATTTACTGAGGTCAGTATTTTTTTTTTTTTTTTTTTTTTTTTTTTTTTTTTTTTTTTTTTTTTTTTTTTTTTTTTTTTTTTTTTATTTATTTTTTTTTTTTTTTTTTTTTTTTTTTTGTATATTAAATAATATATTATTTATTTTTTTGGGTTTTTTTATTTTTTTTTTTTTTGGGGGTTTTTTTTTTTTTTTGTTGTTTTTTTTTTTTTTTTTAAATTTGAAAATTAAAGGTTGTTTTTTAAAAAAGATGTGGTTTTCCCTTTTTTTTTTTTTTCCCCCCCCCCCAAAGGGGTGTTTATTTTTTTTTTACCTTAAGAGTAACCAGCGTTACAGTATCATTTATTGATGTTATTCAATAATTTGTTTGATGATAAAGTTACAATAACTTTTACCATGAAGCAACGTCTCAACTGTTTGGTAGAGGCCCATATTTCATTAGCTTTTTTATTAGTGAGGTCAATAAAGGGTTCAAGTCAAAGTTAAGTTGCAAGTGTTTTTCAAAATGTTGTAGAGTCTAAGTCAGACTTTATGACGGGAGTGTGATTCATATGACGGCTCCTGATTGGTTTTGACTCTGTTGTGGGCGGTCAAAAAATAAACCCAGAATTCAGCTCATACCCACCAAAAGAATGAACAACATGAAGAAGATTCCTCAGTGTACATGATGTATATTTCATTTTATTGTACAACTCAAACACAACGTAACATAATGTATATGAATATGATCAGTTCGGTCTTGTGATAATATTCAGGTTGTGCATCAAATTAACTATTACATCACCAATCAGAGTTTTATTTTCCAAAGCTCACAACAAAGAGAAATTCCATAGAGAGTATTATGTTCTTATATAAACTTAAAATATGATACTAAAGAAAACAAACACGTCAGGAATATAGTAAATGCTATGGTTACATGAGAGTTAAGAAAAGAACATCTGATCAAAATCTATGTTAATTAATCAGGATTATTTATGACATTTGAATATATAAACAGTGGATGTTAACTCCAGCAAGGTAGAAAGTGGCGTTAGCAAACATTGTGTTAATAAACAATCTGCTCGTTCCTATGACAGTTTATGTGATTTTTTGTTTGTATGTGTAACCCTGGAGACATTCATTCCCACCAGGTAAACATTAAGACCGATCAAACTGTACCAGAGAATGAAAGTATAATAATCTACACATCTACACACAATATTTGGGTCTATCTAGGATAAGGTATTCAAATTAATATACAGGTTTCTTTTCCTTTTCCTGGGTTTAGAATCAGTGCTGTTAAAAACATTGTGGCTTTTGCAGGTTTGACAGAAACTTCTCTACTTCTCTGCACATTCTGTCTTTCTTTCTGTCTCTAATCTGAGTCAGAACTCTGATGCTTCTCTCACGAAAGGAGGACTCATGTGGTATCTCTGCTGCCCTCATGTGGTACTGTGTTGCCCTGTCGCTGTCGTTTAGATGAAAGAATAAATGGTATGCGTAGTTGGTGTAAAGCATCTGTTTGTCTGCAGGTTCCAGATCACTTTCTAGCAGTTCCTGGAATATCTGGTCAGCTTTAGCCTGGCTGTACTTTGAGTTTATGTACATCTTTGCGAGGTCTATTTTCTTCACAAGAGAAGACTGAGGGTAAAGAGAAATCACCTCCTCATGGAGACTGAGTGCTCTCTCTATTCTGCTTCTATCCATTACTTCTTGGCCAATATCCCTGAAATAAATCCATTTGTAGCAGAGTGCAACACAACTCTTCAGATAACGTACATCTGGATGTTTTTTCCAGAGCCTCCTCTGCCAAAGTAATGGCCTCATCTACAGATACATAGTTTCTGTAAACCCACAGTAATGCTTTCATACCGCTGTAGCTGCTCACAGGATTTATCAAAACCTGTCTGCCTAACTCACGTGCTTCTTCTTCAATACTTTCTCCTTTCTTACCACGTTGTTCAAGGTATTTAGCAGCGAGATACAAGTTCTCTGGATCCTGTTCCTTGGCAATTCTCAATTTCTGCAAGATGTCAGCCTCAGGCCCTTCGTTGTAAGAAGCACTCTCTAATGCTAAGACACGGCTGGTGTTCCACTCCACCATGTCCGGCTGCATCCTGATGGCTCTCTCAAAGTAATCTGCAGCCTGCAGCTTTTGGTCTGTGCTGAACTTCATCAGGGTCCAGGCTTTTTCAGCGTAGATCTCTGGATGGAGCTCGTCCTGGGATGGAGATGGATATTTTTTCATCAGGGCGTCGACCTTTGACAGGTACGCCTGACTCTCTTCTTGTTTTCCCAGGTGGTGGTGCAGCCAAGCCAGGTTCCCGTAGTTCACCACTAACCAGGGACCCTCTTCTGCTCCTCTTGTCAGGCGGAGGGCCTCTGTAGCCTGGTTGAACAAACTCTGGGAGTCTTCAGTGAACCCCAGCTTGTACTGAATGTACCCCCGCAGGTTGTAAATGTGACCCAGCCAGCTGTTTCCCTCCTCAGTGCCGATGTCCTCCAGCTTGTCTCTGACACGGAAAAGTTTGGACCTGCCAGGGTTCAGGTCCCAGGTGAAGTGGCACTGCAGGGCCTCCAGTTTGGACCAGTGTTGTTGCACCCTGAAGAGAACTGATGGATAATAAACATGTCAACTAGAGAATGCAGCTATTGAAGAAAAAAGTAGGTGTGTATGTTAGAGGTTTAAAGGCTGACGCTAAACTGCATTAATATTGCAGGACAGCTGTACTTGCAAGATCACAAAATTGGTAGAATCTATCTACTACCTGCCTTCAATCTATGTGTTACTGGACCAATCAGTGTTTTGTGTGAAGATACTCGCAGCTATGTCGTGAGCTACAGGCCTGGTTTAACGCTAGATGTGTGTGACGTGTGTGAAGTGACTGTTTGCTCAAAATGGCGGTTAGTGTAGATTCTGCTCGAATCAGTTATATCAGAACTGAATTTCTTCATTGAAAGAACAATGAAGAACGGCACTGAAGGCTTTTCTTGATGGAAAAGACTTCAGTAAGCAACGAGCGAAACGCCTTTTTCTCTTGCTATCTGCGCCAGCGGACATTGCACAGCAGAGACTGTTTGGACTTCAGAACCACAATCCTGATCAGCCCAGCTCACAGAACCGCCAGCTGACCGACGCAGCTCACCCTCTTCATCTCCATTGGACTGTCGGTAACGTACTGGGCCTATTGTTAATGTTACTGATGTGTTTTATTCAGGTTATTGTATTGTGTTGTTGATTTGATTAACTCAGGTTACTGTAGTAACTATAGTCTTTCAGTTCGTGCTAAGGTGATGTAAGTTTAATATTATGCGTTACACAGACACCGTCTTTGCATGCAACTAACTCCCTTTTAACGGCACCGTTGATCTAAGATCACACATATTTTTGGGGCTCATGGCGGTCTAGAGCCTTCCTGAGGGAAGCATCTTAAAATGTAGGTACAGTGTATGGGACCAATCACTTAATGTGTCAAACGCCTTCTCTTTGGTAATTAATACCTGCCTGCTGCTTAGTTAGTGTTTCATTGGTGAACTTCAACCAGTCAGATCAATCAACCATATAACACAGTCAATACTGCAGCTCTTGCAGGTTTGCTAGAAAATCTGTTTTCCCAATAGTAGGTTTGTATCTCTGCTGCCATCATGTGGTAGCGCAATGCCCTGTGGTGATCCTGTCAATTGAAGTTTAAATACTTTGTGTAGTTTCTGTAAAGCATCTGTTTGTTTGCTGGTTCCAGATCACTTTCTAGCAGTTCCTGGTATATCTGCTCAGCTTTAGCCTGGCTGTACTTTGATTTTGCGTATAAATTTGCAAGGTTGATTTTTTTCATTATGTGTTGGTCAATATCCCTGAAATAAATCCATTTGTAGCAGAGTGCAACACATCTCTTCAGATAACGTACATTGGGATGTTTTTCCAGAGCCTCCTCTGCCAAAAGAAGAAGAAGATATACTTTATTGATCCCCTAGGGGAAAACTGTTCTTT